CCAGACCTGTTTCTTCTTGACCGAGAATCCATGAGCTTTTGATATATACTGCTTTTATATATATCCGCCTTCTGGTGAGTGCGCATTTCTGCTACTTCCTCGCGGATCACCATCGTTGATTCCTATTTGTCACCTGGCACGTTTATATGAACTGGACTTACAGCGGACAATTTTCAGATTTATTACTTAGCGCTGCACTTTTATTTTTAATAACAGTAGTAAGTGGCAGAAGCTGTAAACAAACATACATAAACGGCCCTAACAGCGGACCCGTAATGATGATAAATAAACAATAGTGACCCCAATCCACATGGGGGTATATAAAATAGTGACCCCTGGTACCCGGATTGGGACACAGTCCAACAACAGGAGAATCCCTGCAGAGGGATCAAAGACATATACACCGTGCAAATAATAAACACATTCAAATATATATGAAAACGGTGTCATAAGTCCATTATTCAGTGCTGCAGTCAGGGGTGGACTGACCATTTGGAAACTTGGGCACCGCCCGAGGGCTCGGGGTCAGTAGGGGGCCCCATGAGATGCCCCTGGTACCCTTTTCATATGCTTTTTTTGAGTTTGGGCAAGGACACAGGGGCCTCATGATCCCCTATTGCCCGGGGGCCCCATGAGTTGTCAGTCCGCCCCTGGCTGCAATCTTCCTGATCATGCAAGATGTGGGTAACGGCGCACCGTCAATGTGATCCCAAAATGGCTGCAATGGCCTCTCACCTCCACTTCGCGACCCTGCACGGTCACAAAGTTTAAATGGATCCCCTCTGGATCCCTCAGAATAACCGCTCCTTGTACCAGGTGATGCAGGCAGGTATCATGGGATCAATGTTCCACTGGACCCGTCAGCAGGTATAGAGGCACTCTCATATAACTCATTGCTCACATGCCCATAAAACGAGAAGAGAACACAATCTCCATCGTGTAACAAAGAGAAGCCGAAATGCAAACTCACATGACAGTAGCTTGTATCAAGGTAGTTCCAATGTGCTGGGTGTAGAGCATGAAAATAAGGTGTTCCAAGATGGCGTCACTCCGGAAGCACGTCACCACGCTTGTATTTGTATATTTAAAGACATACAGTATATTTGAAATGTATTGTTAAAAATAGTTTCCATATATTTTGTAATAAAAACACATTTCAACATACAGTATATACAGTTGTGTTCAAAATAATAGCCGTCAGACATCACTAACCGGATCAATCGCTGTTTTTGGTGGAAATGATATTTCTACATGGCAGATAATTTCCTAGCAGGTGTAGTAGAGTCATAGAAATCCAACAGACCCGACAGTCATGACATGCATGCTGCTGATTCTGTGTCATTGAATCACTCATTGAAAGGGGCGTGTTCAAAATAATAGCCGTGTGGAGTTCTATTAGTGAGGTCATTCATTCTTTGTAAAACAGGTGGCAATTATTGCCCTTATTTAAGGAAGGAAGGCAGCAAATGTTGGACATGCTGGTTACAGTGCATTTCTCTCTGAAATTCTGAGGAAAATGGGTGGTTCCAGACATTGTTCAGAAGAACAGCGTACCTTGATTAAGAAAGTTGATTGGAGAGGGGAAAACATATAAAGAAGTGCAGAAAATGATCGGCTGCTCAGCTAAAATGATGGCAAATGCTTTAAAATGGCAACCAAAACCTGAAAGACGTGGAAGAAAGCGAAAAACTACCATTGGAATGGATAGAAGAATAGCCAAAATGGGGCGGACTCAGCCAACAATCAGCTCCAGGAAGATGAAAGAAGGTGTGACGTGTGACGTTCCCTGTGAGGACTCAGCCAACAATCAGCTCCAGGAAGATGAAAGAAGGTGTGACGTTCCCTGTGAGGACTGTTACAATTAGAAGACGCCGATGTGAAGCCAAGCTATCTGCAAGAAGTCCCCGCAAAGTCCCACTGTTGGAAAAAAGACGTGTGCTGAAGAGGTTACAATCTGCCAAAGAGCATATTGACCGGCCTAAAGAGAAATGGCGCAACATTTTGTGGACTGATGAAAGTAAGATTGTTCTTTTTGGGTCTAGTGGGCGGAGACAGTTTGTCAGACGACCCCCAAACACTGAATTCAAGCCACAGTACACTGTGAAGACCGTGAAGCATGGTGGTGCAAGCATCATGATATGGGGATGTTTCTCATACTACGGTGTTGGGCCTATTTATCGCATACCAGGGATCATGGATCAGTTTGAATCCATCAGAATACTTGAAGAGGTCATGCTGCCTTATGCTGAAGAGGAAATGCCCTTGAAATGGGTTCCAACAAGACAACGACCCCAAACACACCAGTAAACGTGCAACATCTCGGTTCCAGACCAACAAAATGGACGTTATGGAGTGGCCAGCCCAATCCCCGGATCTTCATCCAATAGAAAACTTGTGGGGTGACATCCAAAATGCCGTTTCTGAGGCAAAACCAAGAAATAGGGAAGAACTGTGGAATGTGGTCCAATCATCCTGGGCTGGAATACCTGATCACAGGGGCCAGAAGTTGGGTGACTCCATGCAACACAGATGTACAGCAGTTCTCAGAAACAGTGCGACTACAACCAAAATATTCATGAAGTCATTCAAAGGAAAGCAAAATCTTCAAACATTTCTCAGTTTATATAGTGAATGTTTGAGTTTGTAAAGAAGAATACAAACACGGCCATTTTTTTGAACCGTCTAATATTCACTTTTCTTCCATTTTTTTTAGAGGAACAACACAAATTTGATGTATTTTTCTTCATGTTGTGATTTGGAATAGAATGTATCGTGTTCCCAATGCATTTGTGTGGATGGAAATAAAAGCTATTAGAAGGATTTTCAGCTTTATTCACTTTTTTCAATACACTGCTATTATTATTGAACACAACTGTATATATATATATATATTTATTATATAGGATTTATATTATTATTATACAGGATTTATGGCGCCAACGGTTTGCTCAGCGCTTTACAATATAACGGGAGACAATACAGCAACAATACAGCTCAATACAAGAGAGATAGGAGGGCCCTGATCCTGGGAGCTTACAATCTAGGAGGGAGGGGCTGGTGGTGCAATAGGTAAAACTGTGGGGGATGGACTGGTTGGAAGCTTAGAGGATTCCATTATTAGCATAGGGCGGGGTAGGCTTCCCTGAAGAGATAGGTTTTTAATGATCGTCTAAAGGTAAGTAGAGTAGGTGATAGTCTGATAGATTGGGGTAGGGAGTTCCAGAGGATGGGTGACGCCCTGGAGAAGTCTTGGAGACGTGAAGAAGAAAAACAAAAAAAAGCGCACCAACCTTGCGCATTACCTCAGTAACCAAAATTTATTTAGTAAAAGAATGGTACTCACAAACAGCGAATAAAACAGGCATGTAAGTCCTCAAAGGGACTTTAAAGGCAAGATGCCAATGCGAATCCCATCATGGAGGAAGCCACTCAGTACAGCTGACGGTTTCGAAGGACATGCCTTCTTCCTCAGAGCTCTGAGGAAGAAGGCATGTCCTTCCTCCCTGTTTTTATTCGCTGTATGTGAGTACCATTCTTTTACTAAATAAATTTTGGTTACTGAGGTAATGCGCAAGGTTGGTGCGCTTTTTTTTGTTGTTCTTCTTCACAGTTCTGTTTGGGCTTCCCCAGCCTTGGTGTGGAGCTGCACGACCTTGTCTATTCCGGTGGTTCCTTCCTTTTTGGAGTTTGATTCCATCTACTCACCACCGGTCTGGGTCCCGGAGCGCAGGAGATATCGCATTTGGTTCGAAGTCTTGGAGACGAGCGTGGGAGGAGGAGATAAGGGAGCTAGAGAGTAGGAGGTCTTGCGAGGAGCGGAGTGTACAGATTGGGTGATATTTAGAGATCGGATATGTAAATCGGGGCAGTGTTGTGGACGGCTTTGTATGTCATAATGAGTGTTTTGAATTTTTTCCGTTGGGCAATATAATATATCCGTAATTGTAGTCGTTCAAATATATGGCAATCTATTTTGGGAAGAATATTTTAAAAATATATTTCAAATATATTTTCTTCCCTATGGGAAGTACCACCAGTTAAGTGCAGCAGCCTTATTTATGGGAGGATATAAAGGTCAATGGCCGGGAATGTCATGTGGAGGCCTCTGGCATGGAGTGGGGCCCAGTATGGCGGATGCTCCAGCGGGAGGGTTAGTGGTATAGAAAGGACAGGGCCGGGCATGGACCGGGCTTTGGTGCCAACACCCAGCTACTCATAGAGCCCCCTCTTACACACTGACATACATACAGTCCCAGAGCGGCGATGGAGAGCTCCGCTGAAAGTTGCAGCGTTCCGCTCCGGAATACTAAGTGCGCTGACAGGGAGCGGCACGGCCTCCGAATCAAAGAGGCAACAAATTCAAGGACAAAACCTCCCCGAGGCGGCTACCGGGTCTAATGCTGATATTCTGTCTTTTTTTGGTGTGTTATTACAAGCAACGTAGCTTCAATATTTAATGTGTGTGGATTTACCAGGACGCGGGCCGCCGAAAAAACAGTCCAACCTTGACGGCTGCGGCGCGCTAAAATTTTTTTTTTTTCCGGTTTATTAGAGAATTTTAAAAAAAATCTCATTTATCTTAAAAATGCCTTAAAGTGGAACTTCACCCTGAAAATGGCCTCCGCCTGCCTTCATTTCCTCGTCGCAAAGGGCGGGTGTTTTATATTTCAGTGAGTGGGAACCTTTTCTTTGATGAGGATGATGTTGCCTTGGTCAGCTTTCATTATTTATTTATTTTAGGTACTTATATGGCGCCGTATATTTTCGCAGCGCTTTACGTATATATTGTACATTCACATCAGTCCCCGCCCCCGAGGAGCATACAATCTCACATTCATACATATACATACTAGGGCCGATTTAGACAGGAGCCAATTCACCTACCAGCATGTCTTTGGACTGTGGGAGGAAACCGGAGTACCCGGCAGAAACCCACGCAGGCACAGGGAGAACATGCAAACACCAGGCAGGTGGTGCCGTGGTTGGGATTCGAACCAACAGGTAGCACAGTGACTTAGTGGTTAGCATGTCTGCCTTGCAGTAAATGGGCCATGGGTTCAATTCCTGACCATGGTGCCTCCTGCATGGAGTTTGCATATTCTCCCTGTGCTTGCGTGGGTTTCCTCCGGGTGCTCCGGTTTCCTCTCACACTCCAAAGACATGTTGGTAGCAGGGGCGGACTGACTATTTAGAAGCTCGGGCACTGCCCGGGGGTCCAGGGTCAGTAGGGGGCCCCATGAGATGCCCCTGGTACCTTTTTCATTGGCTTTTTTTTTTTAGTTTGGGCAAGGACACAGGGTCCCCATGATCCCCTATTGCCTGGGGGCCCCATGAGTTGTCAGTCCGCCCCTGGTTGGTAGGTTAATTGGATCCTGTCTAAATTGGCCCTAATATGTGTATGTATGAATGTGAGTTAGGGACCTGAGATTGTGCGCTCCTCGGGGGCGGGGACTAATGTGAATGTTCAATATATATATATATGTAAAGTGCTACGTAAATTGACAGCGCTATAGAAGTACCTGAAATAAATAAAATAAAAATAACGTCCCCAGTACTGCCAGGTGGAAGTGCTAAGCCTTTAGCCACTGTGCTGCCCATTTTTCATTTGGCCACCTGGTCTGTGATGATACGCATGGGGGCAGAGCCAGGTGACGCCAGAGACGAAGACGAGAAGTGTGATTGAAGTGTATACCTGTTTCGACCTGTGCCCATTTGTCCTGCTCTACTCCTATGTCCCAGCACTTTCTGGAAGGCAGGGAAGAGCAATTAACCCTGTCACCCCTGATGAAGGCATGTGGTCTATGATGACACGCATAGGGAGGAGCCAGGTGACGCCAGAGACAAGACCAGAAGTGTGGTGATTGAAGTGTATACTTGTTTCAACTTGTGCCCATTTACCCTGCTCTACTCCTATGTCCCAGAACATTCTGGATGGCAAGGAAGAACAATCAACCCTGCCACCCCTGATGAAGGCACGTGGTCTGTGATGATACGCATGGGGCGGAGCCAGGTGATGCCGGAGACGAAGACCAGAAGTGTGGTGATTGAAGTGTATACCTGTTTCAACCTGTGCCCATTTGCGCTGCTCTACTCCTATGTCCTAGAACCTTCTGGAAGGCAGGGAAGAGCAATCAACTCTGCCACCCCTGATGAAGGCAAATGGTCTGTGATAACACACATGGGGCGGAGCCAGGTGACGCCAGAGCCTGAGTTCACACGGGAGTAGTGCGGTAAACCTCCCTGCACTGATCCCATGCTGTCACACAAGGAAAAGCAGCTTTACAGGTTTGGGGTCTTGTAGTTCCCACCGCTTTCTCTCCTCTCCTTGCAGGGATGACAGTACAGGATAGATGGCCTCTGACTGGTCAGCGTCGTCACGGTGCTGACCAATCAGAAGCCGGTTAGCCCGTACTGTCATCGCTGCAAGGAGAGGAAAGAAAACTGCAGACCTGTGAAGCAGCTTTTCCATGTGAGAGCATGGGATCGAGAGGTTTCACGCACCGATCCTGTGTAAACTATGACAAGCCCGGGTTCACACAGGAGCGGTGGGCAAGCTGCAAGTGATTTGGACAAGAATCGCACTACATTCCTGTTCAAATTGCATGCTATTTTTGCAGCATGCTAAGAGAGATTGTGCTCTGAGCTTTCTGATCTTTCTCTATCGACTTATCTGGGTGATGTTCTGGCCTGATTTCATGTACACATTTCCACGTACCTTCTCTTATTAGCAGCATTTTCATCTTGATTGTCTAGGACTGGTACTTATTTCTTCTATACCTCTCAAGCAGTTGACCATGCCCAATCCTGCATATGCTGGCCTTTTATTAGCTTGGTTTGGTATCGCTTTGTATTCAAATACAGTTTATTGCTGAGATTAGCTCTTTCATGAACCTTTTGTAATCTTTCCCACATTTCTTTAGCAGTTTCACACTCACATATATGTATGATTTGATTATCTTCTATGCTAAGAGAGATTGCTCCCTGAGCTTTCTGCTCTTTCTCTATCCACACATCTGGGCGATGTTCTGGCCTGATTTCATTTATACATTTCCACGTACCTTCTCTTACTAGCAGAATTTTCATCTTGATTGTCTAGGACTGGTAGTTATTTCTTCTTCTATACCTCTCAGGCATTCGACCATGTCCAATCCTGGCCTTTTATTAGCTTGGTTTGGTATAGCTTTGTATTCAAATACAGTTTTTTTTGCTGAGATTTGCTCTTTCATGCATCTTTTGTAACCCTTCCCACATTTCTTTAGCAGTTTCACACACTCACATATATGTGCCGTATGATTTGATTATCTTCTATGCTAAAAGAGATTGTGCTCTGAGCTTTCTGATCTTTCTCTATCCTCTCATCTGAAGGGTGTTCTGGCCTGATTTCATATATACTTTTCCTCGTACATTCTCTTATTAGCAACATTTTCATCTTGATTGTTTAGGACTGGTAGTTCTGGTTTGTCAGATTTGCAGAGCTTTCTTGCAGCTGTGTTACTGTCCCTCTTTCTTTTATTCTGTTGCAGTCTTCTTTCTGTTGCTCTGTCTTGCACTCAGGGTGGGACTGATCATTTGGAAACTCGGGCACTGCAGAGGGTCCGGGCTCAGTAGGGGGCTCCATGAGATGCCCCTGGTACCTTTTTCATAGGCTTTTTTGAGTTTGGGCAAGGACACAGGGGCCCCATGATCCCCTATTGCCCGGGGGCCCCATGAGTTGTCAGTCCGCCCCTGCTTGCACTTATTTGCTGTAGTCGCCTATGACTGGGCCTATAACCTGTTAGAAATTCTGTATATAGCCCTTCAGAACAAACAGTGCACAGTCCATATGTGACTTTTCTGCTTCACTACAACAAGGAAACGGAAGCTTTATTCAGAGAAAAGGCACAGAGTTTACCATAGATGCAGCTACAAACTTACAAACACTGCCATCTACTGGTGGAAGATATATCTCTACTGAATACTGATGTAGTTGTTGCACAAAATACATGAACACTGTATTCCAACACTCCTTCATCCAGAGAGGGGGCGCTTTAATACAGGAGGTGTGTTACTGGCTGGATGAAGGTGAATTAATGGGGGAAAAGGCCTAAAAAAAAAGAAAGCTAATGCAGCCACTAAATCTAATGATTGGTAAGCTAAAATATATGATATTATTGGTCTTGGGTTTAATACCGCTTTAAGGCTTTGAGATTACGGCTCTGGTTTCTCTGAGACCACTTTGGGGTTGCGTTATGTGCTCCGTTTGGGTGCAGCAAAGTACTTCATCAGCAACGGCCCGCACTGAAATCTCATTAGCGGAAAGCCGAAGCCGGCCCTGCTTAAGAATTGCTACATTATGTAATGAACGCAACGAAAGCTTTTCCTGCTGAGAAGTGACATAAGTGGTGGCTCAGAGCGGAGTCACATCTGTACAGAATTTGTGTCCCGCAGATGTTCCAGCCGCTGATAAGTCTCCATTTGCAATCTTCCCTTAATACCGTAATCAAGTCTGCGCCTAATTGTGGGCGAGAGATCAGCCGCGGACGCATCCCGCAGCTCTATGTGCAGGGGAGGCGCTCTCTTGTGCCGTCTCTCTCCCTTCGGACTCGCTCCGTTCTGCAGAAGACTCTTCGTGGATTATAAGTGGAACCCCCAAAACTTAAAGCCCAACTTGGGGCTGTGCCTGCCCTGCAAAGGTTCATAGCTTGTTTTAGTAAAAAAAAAAAAAAAAAGAATAAGTTAAATGTACAACTAATAAATTGTAAATCAATCCTGAATATTTGTGTCTGTGCAGTATAGCACAGCTGTGCAAAACAGCTCAAAAAAAGGGACAAGTGCAAAGTAATAAAATAAAAAAATAAAATTGATTATAAATAAAATAAATAAATAAAATAAAATAATGAATGAAATAAAAGATAGCAGTTGAAGTTCATAAAACTGAAAAAAAGAGCGAATATCTAATTTTAGCATATCATATTAAACAGTGGCCATATTTATAGAATTAATTATTAATTCTAAGTAATAATAATAATAATACCATTAATAATAATAATAATTATTATTATTAATAAAATTCATAATAATTATTATTTAATAATTATTAATTGTAGGATTTATTATAGGATATTTTTAAAATGTGTAATTTAAAATATCCAATTTTAGCAAATGTGTGCAATGCAGCCGGTGACACTCTCCTCCACCAACATGAACCATCGGCTGCTTACTAGATAATGTGACCTCCTATAAATATCCTATAATTAATCCTATTATAATAATAATAATTTAAAAAATATCCTATAATAAATCCTATAATTAATACTATTATAATTATTATTATTATGAGTAGTATTATTATTAGTAGTATTATTAGTATTACTAATAATAATAATAAATAATTCTTAATTATAAGATTAATTATAGGATATTTATAGGAGGTCACGTTATCTAGTAAGCAGCCTATAATTCATGTTGGTGGAGGAGAGTGTCACCGGCTGCATTGCACACATTTGCTAAAATTGGACATTTTAAATTACACATTTTAAAAATATCCTATAATAAATCCTACAATTAATAATTATTAAATAATAATAATTATTATGAATATTATTAATAATAATAATTAATATTGCTGGTATTATTATTATTACTTAGAATTAATATTAATTATTATTACCTAGAATTATTAATTAATTCTATAAATATGGGGGATTAAGGAACTCTTCCCCAACACATCGGGACAATATGGTAATAAAACCAATTGGCATGCACTGCTACTTTTCATATTAAACAGTGGCCATAATAAAAAGGAAGGAGCCCCACATATAATACAGTACCAGCTCATTTAATTTATTTGTCATAAAATCATACTTGCAAAATGAAGAGATAAGCAAGCCAAACAAACAAAGAAAGCAGCCGCACTGCTTAGCGACTTCAGATCACAAGCTCCGCCCGACGTGTTTCGTCAAAAGTGACGTCATCAGGGGTCGGGCTCGTTTTGTCCAAGGTGTCACTCACACCAGCGAGTTTACAAAATGCCCAGGCATGGAGGCAAAATGAGCCCGGCCCCGGATGATGTAACTTTTGACAAAGCGCATCAGGCGGAGCTTGTGACCTGAAGTTACGCACAGGCATTTTTGTGCGCATTTTAATGAAACATGCTAAAAACACATGTCACGTTTGTGGTGCTGTTTCTTGGTAACTGCGCCACAAATGCAGCAAGAAGATCCATGTGGAAAAACTCGCAATGAACGTAACGAAACGCGCTGTAAAAAACAGGTAAGACTCAACGCCGCAAAAAGCTACATGAGATACTTAGCTACATTGGTCACGTGTAGGACAACCTACTGAAATGAATGGGCTGCCCTACATGTTTCACGCAAAAAACACGTGTACAAAAAACGCGCAAAAGTACTCTTGGAGACCACCTGTTGGTCGGAGAAGGACGTTCATTGCTGTCTGTCGCCTTGGCACGTCCATGCCCCAATTCTGCCAGCACCGCACCCCCGCGGGAAGTCCACATTTACAGATCCATGCAGAAACAAATTTCATCTCTGTATGGAGAGTCCCTTTAATACATGAATAATGTGCGGCTGGACTCCGCATTCACCGCAGCAGAGAGAGGGATTCCGGTACAATGCGGGAAAGTGTGAGAGGCAGGAAAGGCCATGAAATAAACTCTGAACACAACAGGATGTCGAATTACTCAGAGTGACACGTGTGGTCATTGTCCTGTGTATGAGCTGGAGAACACGTGTGGTCATTGTCCTGTGTATGAGCTGGAGAACACGTGTGGTCATTGTCCTGTGTATGAGCTGGAGAAATCTGCCTGGATGTATTGTCCATATATGAGGAGCCGATACTAGAGGTGGGATATCGGTGTTTAACTTTTTTTACATTTTTATTTTTTAATATTGTTATTTATGTTTTTTTACATACTGTCACCCTAACAGTACAGTGATCACCATGGTGACACTGCACTACTTGTGGGGGGTGATAAAGTTTTTTTTTTTTTTACACTGATTGCTTTTACACCCATAAAGACTGTAAAATCAATCATTTCTCCTTCTCTCTGGCTGCATTCTTGCAGCCATTGAGAAATACTGTGTGAGCTGTGATTGGTCACAGCGTGTCACATGGAACAAGACTGTTGTGAATGGCCCTGTACTATGTGATCTCTGTGATCATTCACATATTTCACACGTAGTAAGCAATGATGTCAGAAGTGACATCTTGCTTACTACTCTGCATGTGATCACTGACTGGCCAATCAGTGATCACATGATCGGGACCTCACACACAGAGGTCCCATATGACGATCGGTGTTCCACTGTGTCCGGAGGACACAGCGGGCACCGGATCGCGGTGCTGCGCGCTCCCAGGGAGCGTGTACAGTCCAAAATGGTGAGCGCCGTTTATGAAGGGCAGCCCGCCCCTGCACTGCCACAGTCCTGCCGTTTATAAACAGCAGCCGGATGGCAAGTGGTTAAAAAGTGTTCCTGTAGTGACCTAACTGCCCATTAAATGTACCCACTCTCACCCCCCATGCCTCCGAACCAATAATGAAAACTGCCATTATACGGGAATGGTGGATGGTGGGGCTCCCTGAAGTCAGGTTTCTTGTAATATGGTGAAACTAGTTCAGAGAGGTACAGAGACGAAGGTTTTCTGGTTAATAAATGAAGTACTACCCCCGCAGGAGCCACTTGGTAAATTGGGTTCTTTGTTCTTTTGTCTTGACTCTGTGGACAGCCCCTCTGACACACCTGGTTGAACGAAGGTTGCTGCAAACCCTTTCAGGGACACCAGTATGGATACATAGATACGTAGTTAGCCTGGCTGAAAAAAGACAAAAGTCCATCCAGTTCAACCATAGAAAAAAAAAAAAAAAAAAGTTATAATCCTCCACCCACAGTTGATCCAGAGGAAGGCAAGAAAACCCAGCAAAGCACGATCCAATTTGCTCCTGCTGGGAAAAAAAATCCCTTCCTGATCCCCCGAGAGGCAATCGGATATTCTCTGGATTCCCTTTTCCCTGTAAATGTTATATCCAGTTATATTCTGTGTATCCAAGAAAGAATCCAGGACTTTCCTACAGCAATCCACTGAGCTGGCCACAACAAACTCTTGAGGGAGTCTATTCCACATTCTTACAGCTCTTACTGTGAAGAAGCCTTTCCGTGTTTGGAGATGACATTTCTTTTCCTCCAGACGTAAAGAGCACCCCCTTGTCCTCTGTGATGACCTCAGGGGGAATAAATACACCGAGTTCACTATATGAACCACTGATGGATTTATACAATGCACCCATCTGCGATTCAGCACCAGAAAATTAAAGCATCCTTTCCAGGAGCGGACTGACAACTAATGGGGCCCCCGGGCAATAGGGGATCATTGGGCCCCTGTGTCCTTGCCCAAACTCAAAAAAGCCTATGAAAAAGGTACCAGGGTTTCCAAATGGACAGTCTGCCCCTGGATCTGACTGATGATCAGGACTCTGTCTCTCCTTTATGTGTGTGATCTGACTGATGATCAGGACTCTGTCTCTCCTTTATATATGTGATCTGACTGATGATCAGGACTCTGTCTCTCCTTTATATATGTGATCTGACTGATGATAAGGGCTCTGTCTCTCCTTTATGTGTGTGATCTGACTGATGATCAGGGCTCCTTTCATATTACCGGGTTTCTCTCCTGCACTCCCCTGTGGAACAATCCACAATATATTGAACTGGCTAGACTGGAGGGTTTCCACGACTGGAGGGGTAAAGGCCTGAAATGTATATCTCAGCTGTATTCGGGGGTAATCCTAAAGTCCTTTTCACAATTGCAAATGGAATTTGCACTTCCCCAAAGCAATTTTATTGATTTTCTTCAGCTACACCATGCGTTACAGGCAGGGGCGTCCTGAGGCAGGTGCAGGGGTGGGGCCCGCACCGGGTGACACCAACCGCATGGGGTGACACCGGACCCGCTCCTCAAAAGGTAAGTTGTAAAGCAAGCCGACGATCCCCGCAGGATGGATCCGATCTGGAAAAGTCAAAACTGTGCCACACCCCCCTACAATGTGTGCCTCTCGATTGGATCAGGGAAAATCTGGGAGAATTTGACCTTCTAAGCTGGAGGATCGCATTGTGTATGACCCCCTTAGCCCCAGGACCCCTACATTGCTCTAAAAACCAGAACAGAGTGTGTAAGACCAAACATTTCATCTTAGCGTGTAGGCAGGTGCAGTTTGCTAGCCTGCCACTAGTTGGCTCTGTGCCAACAAAGTGTCTGGTTACAGAAGATAGTGTAATCAGGTGCTAGGCCCCTTTTAGTTAGAGCCCTCCTGTAGTGATGTAATGGATGAGTCACTGCCCACATATAAGCCAAGTTGGGAGGAGCTCTAGGGCATCATGGGAGCCAAACACCCCACATCTATGCAGATGTAGCCTCCAAATGTCGGCCCTGGAAAGAGATGGAGGCCAAGGAAAGGTAGAGCTGCACCCAGGAGAGCAAGCTGTGGACTTCATGAACCTTATAAATGTGGGGACTAGGGCAGGCTGCCAAAGGCCTTTCAGGCCTGGCCAAGAGTTCCTTGACTGAGGCTTTCTTCCTTAGGGATTCTTGGAGAGCTGTACCTATGAAGGAGAACTGGACAGAACCAGAGGCCAGGGAAAGGTAGAACTGCACCCATCAGAGCAAGCTGTAGACTTCTTGAACCTTATAAACTTGGGGAATAGGGCAGGCTGCCAAATGCCTTTCAGGCCTGGCCAAGAGTTCCTTGACTGAGGCTTTCTTCCTTAGGGATTCTTGGAGAGCTGTACCTATGAAGGAGAACTGGACAGAACTGGAGGCCAGGGAAAGGTAGAACTGCACCCAGGAGAGCAAGCTGTAGATTTTCTGAACCTTATAAACTTGGGGACTAGGGCAGGCTGCCAAAGGCCTTTCAGGCCTGGCCAAGAGTTCCTTGACTGAGGCTTTCTTCCTTAGGGATTCTTGGAGAGCTGTACCTATGAAGGAGAACTGGACAGAACCAGAGGCCAGGGAAAGGTAGAACTGCACCCATCAGAGCAAGCTGTAGACTTCTTGAACCTTATAAACTTGGGGAATAGGGCAGGCTGCCAAATGCCTTTCAGGCCTGGCCAAGAGTTCCTTGACTGAGGCTTTCTTCCTTAGGGATTCTTGGAGAGCTGTACCTATGAAGGAGAACTGGACAGAACTGGAGGCCAGGGAAAGGTAGAACTGCACCCAGGAGAGCAAGCTGTAGATTTTCTGAACCTTATAAACTTGGGGACTAGGGCAGGCTGCCAAAGGCCTTTCAGGCCTGGCCAAGAGTTCCTTGACTGAGGCTTTCTTCCTTAGGGATTCTTGGAGAGCTGTACCTATGAAGGAGAACTGGAGGCCAGGGAAAGGTAGAACTGCACCCAGGAGAGCAAGCTGTGGACTTCTTGAACCTTATAAACATGGGGACTAGGGCAGGCTGCCAAAGGCCTTTCAGGCCTGGCCAAGAGTTCCTTGACTGAGGCTTTCTTCCTTAGGGATACTTTGAGAGCTGTACCTATGAAGGAGAACTGGACAGAACTGGAGGCCAGAGAAAGGTAGAACTGCACCCAGGAGAGCAAGTTGTGGACTTCTTGAACCTTATAAATGTGGGGACTAGGGCAGGCTGCCAAAGGCCTTTCAGGCCTAGCCAAGAGTTCCTTGACTGAGGCTTTCTTCCTTCCTTAGGGAATCTTGGAGAGCTTTACCTATGAAGGAGAACTTCACAGAACTGGAGGCCAGGGAAAGGTAGAACTGCACCCAGGAGAGCAAGCTGTAGACTTCTTGAACCTTATAAACTTGGGGACTAGGGCAGGCTGCCAAAGGCCTTTCAGGCCTGGCCAAGAGTTCCTTGACTGAGGCTTTCTTCCTTAGGGATTCTTGGAGAGCTGTACCTATGAAGGAGAACTGGAGGCCAGGGAAAGGTAGAACTGCACCCAGGAGAGCAAGCTGTGGACTTCTTGAACCTTATAAACATGGGGACTAGGGCAGGCTGCCAAAGGCCTTTCAGGCCTGGCCAAGAGTTCCTTGACTGAGGCTTTCTTCCTTAGGGATACTTTGAGAGCTGTACCTATGAAGGAGAACTGGACAGAACTGGAGGCCAGAGAAAGGTAGAACTGCACCCAGGAGAGCAAGTTGTGGACTTCTTGAACCTTATAAATGTGGGGACTAGGGCAGGCTGCCAAAGGCCTTTCAGGCCTAGCCAAGAGTTCCTTGACTGAGGCTTTCTTCCTTAGGGAATCTTGGAGAGCTTTACCTATGAAGGAGAACTTCACAGAACTGGAGGCCAGGGAAAGGTAGAACTGCACCCAGGAGAGCAAGCTGTAGACTTCTTGAACCTTATAAACTTGGGGACTAGGGCAGGCTGCCAAAGGCCTTTCAGGCCTGGCCAAGAGTTCCTTGACTGAGGCTTTCTTCCTTAGGGATTCTTGGAGAGCTGTACCTATGAAGGAGAACTGGACAGAACTGGAGGCCAGGGAAAGGTAGAACTGCACCCAGGAGAGCAAGCTGTAGACTTCTTGAACCTTATAAACTTGGGGACTAGGGCAGGCTGCCAAAGGCCTTTCAGGCCTGGCCAAGAGTTCCTTGACTGAGGCTTTCTCCCTTAGGGATTCTTGGAGAGGTGTACCTATGAAGGAGGTGACTGCAGAGATCCTATCCAGTGAGTACTAATAACCCGTGGTGAACAGAGTATGTTTGAGGGAAGATGGCTTACTTTAATGGCTGCACAATGCTTTCACATGGGACTACTGTGGACCGTCCACTAAATGGGATTGACAATGTACTGTCAAGTGACCCTGGATAGTATGTCGGTGTGATGTGACCTTTTGTGCCATTTTCCAAGTACCACAAGTAAAGTGCAGCAACTCTACTTATGTGTGGACATTCCCTCCTTGAGGATAAAAAGGTCAATGGCCTGGGAAGGTCCGCATGGAGTGGGCACAAGACGATGGAGGGTACAGCCTCGGCAGGAGGGTCACTGTTCTAGCAAGGAGAGGAGCAGGCCAGGGACTTGTACTCTTGACTGTACTCCAACATCTAGCCATTGGCAAGCCCCCTTACTTAGAAGCATCCAGTCCGCCTAGAGACAAAGAGAGGGCCGAAGCTTAGTAGTCCTCATCTCTCCTGCTGAAGGACAGGTATCCAATGTTTGGTTAGTGGGAATACCTTGAAAATAAATGAAAAAAGTATCCTATTACTTTCTCAATTGTTTTCATCTGCTGTGCTCTGAGTTTTTCTGAAAGTGAGTCATAGTTCCAGAGGGACCGACACTGTACTTGGAGCAGCCGTGATGTGGTCCTATAGATGTCGGTGGAGCTTCATTCTTATTTATCTGTCAAACTCTTTGAAATATAATTTTTTCAACCTAATCGTAATTCACAGAAGAATGACTCATATCTGGCATGGGAACTGCAGATTCGTTGGAAGTATGGGTCAGTTACAGCGAGAAGGACAAAGCTAGCTTGCTTAGTTAATGGGAAAGTAATGTTTTTTGTTCTCTTTTATTTCATTTTGAACGTTCTTCACTATTCATGGAAAATGTTCAAGCAGAACTGTAGTCTTAAATCTCTCTGCATAAACAGGCCTCTTGCACCTCAGTATTTACATATATGTGAAAAGCTTCTGGACCCCTGGCCATCATACTTATGGGAGCTAGTTGGAGATCCCATTCCAAAATCATGGCCATTCACATGGAACCAGGGGCGGACTGACCATTTGGAAACTCGGGCACTGTCCGAGGGCCCGGGGTCAGTAGGGGGCCCCATGAGATGCCCCTAGTACCTTTTTCATAGGCTTTTTTGAGTTTGGGCAAGGACACAGGGGCCCCATGATCCCCTATTGCCCAGGGGCCCCATGAGTTGTCAGTCTGCCCCTGCATGGAACACACACCGCTTTGCAGCTACAACGACCTTCACTATTCTGGGAAGATTTTTTGGACGGCGTCTGTGGCAACTTGTGACCACAAGAACATTTGTGAGCCATAAAGACACGGTTTGACCAGTTGGATTTGTACCTTACAGTTCGTGGGATTTTTAACCACCTCCCGTCGGGCTGTTGTATATAAGCGGCCTGACGGTGGCAGTGCAGGGTCGGGTGGCTGTTTATATACGGCCTCCCCGCCCCCTGCTTGTGAGCGCTCCCTGGGGTAGTGCTTCATTTATTAACCAGAAAACCTTCGTCTATGTACCTCTCTGAACTAGTTTTTCACCATATTACAGGAAACCTGCCTTCAGGGAGCCCCACCATCCACACTCCCGTATAATGGCAGTTTTCATTATTGGTTCGGAGGCATGGGGGGTGAGAGTGGGTACATTTATGGGCAGTTAGGTCACTACAGGAACACTTTTTTAACCACTTGCCATCCGGCTGCTGTTTATAAAACGGCCGGGACGGTGGCAGTGCAGGGGCCCTTCATAAACGGCGCTCACCATTTTGGACTGAGCACCGCGATTCGGTGCCCGCTGTCCTCTGGAAACAGTGGAACACCGATCGTTGCATGGGTCCTCTGTGCGAGGTCCCGATCATGTGATCACTGATTGGCCAATCAGTGATCACATGCAGAGTAGTAAGCAAGATGTCACTTCTGACATCATTGCTTACTACGTGTGAAATCTGTGAATGATCACCGAGGTCACATGGTACAGGGCCATTCACAACAGCCTTGTACAATGTGACAAGCTGTGACCAATCACAACTCACACAGTAGTTCCCAATGGCTGCAAGAATGCAGACAGAGAGAAGGAGAAATGATTGCTTTTTACAGCCTTTATGGCTGTAAAAGCAATCAGTGTAAAAAAAAAAAAAAAAAAAATCTTCATCACCCCCACAAGTAGTACAGTGTCATCATGGTGACACTGTACTGCTAGGGTGACAGTACGTAAAAAAAAAAAAAAAAAACATAAATAATAAAAAAAGGGGGGGAAAAGTGTCCGGACTGGAAGGGGGGGAAAGTGTCCGGACTGGAAGGGGTGAAAGTGTCCGGACTGATAGGGGGGGAGGTGTCCGGACTGGAAGGGGGGGAAAGTGTCCGGACTGGAAGGGGGTGAAGTGTCCGGACTGGAAGGGGGGAAAGTGTCCGGACTGGAAGGGGGGTAAAACTGTCCGGACTGGAAGGTGGGGAAAGTGTCCGGAGTGGAAGGGGGGAAAGTGTCCGGACTGGAAGGGGGGGAAAGTGTCCGCACTGGAAGGGGGGGAAAGTGTCCAGACTGGAAGGGGGTGAAAGTGTCTGGACTGGAAGGGGGAGAAAGTGTCCGGACTGGAAGGGGGGGAAAGTGTCTGGACTGGAAGGGGGGGGAAAGTGTCCGCACTGGAAGGGGGGGAAAGTGTCCAGACTGGAAGGGGGAAAGTGTCCGCACTGGAAGGGGGGGGAAAGTGTCCAGACTGGAAGGGGGGGAAAGTGTCTGGACTGGAAGGGGGGGAAAGTGTCTGGACTGGAAGGGGGGGAAAGTGTCTGGACTGGAAGGGGGGGAAAGTGTCCAGACTGGAAGGGGGGGAAAGTGTCCGGACTGGAAGTGGGGAAAAGTGTCCGGAGTGGAAGGGGGAGAAAGTGTCCGGACTGGAAGGGGGGAAAGTGTCCAGACTGGAAGGGGGGGAAAGTGTCCGGACTGGAAGGGGGGGAAAGTGTCCGCACTGGAAGGGGGGGAAAGTGTCCAGACTGGAAGGGGGGGAAAGTGTCTGGACTGGAAGGGGGGGAAAGTGTCTGGACTGGAAGGGGGAGAAAGTGTCCGGACTGGAAGGGGGGGGAAAGTGTCCGGACTGGAAGGGGGGGAAAGTGTCCGCACTGGAAGGGGGGGAAAGTGTCCAGACTGGAAGGGGGGGGGAAAGTGTCCGGACTGGAAGTGGGGAAAAGTGTCCGGAGTGGAAGGGGGAGAAAGTGTCCGGACTGGAAGGGGGGGAAAGTGTCCAGACTGGAAGGGGGGGAAAGTGTCCAGACTGGAAGGGGGGGAAAGTGTCCGGACTGGAAGGGGGGGGAAGTGTCCGCACTGGAAGGGGGGGAAAGTGTCCAGACTGGAAGGGGGGAAAGTGTCCGGAGTGGAAGGGGGGGGAAAGTGTCCGGACTGGAAGGGGGTGAAAGTGTCCGGACTAGAAGGGGTGAAAGTGTCTGGACTGGAAGGGGGGAAAGTGTCCGGACTGGAAGGGGGGAAAGTGTCCGGACTGGAAGGGGGGAAAGTGTCCGAACTGGAAGGGGTTAAGGCAACCTTAGAATATATAAACCAAACAATTTTTTAAAAGAAGATTTGACATTTTATTTGACACATCAATACATATTTCCCCAATAGAATATAACAATTCTTGACAATATTAGTAATTGTTGTATTGGAAAATTAGCGGAATCTCTTGAAGCTGAGTTTCAACTTGCAACCTCAAATGAGGGAACTACAAGTGCATTCAGCCTATTTCCAACGCGTTTCGAATACGTTAGTGCAGATTCTTCCTCAGGGATAGGATACCGCTCTAAAACAATAATTATCAATAGTTAAACCTTTATACATATTACTTATGATCCAAGAATTGAGAAACCAACTTTACAAATTTTACTGTACATACCAGAAAAATTGGTCCAACTGAAAATGGTTTGCTGTGTTTTGGAGAGTAAATCCCCCCACCCCCCCATGTGTAGGATGAAAACATCGCTTTGCATGCTTGGTTTGACCAGTTTGATGTGGAGGAACTCGAGAGCCCTGACCTCAACCCTACTGAACACCTTCAGGATGAATTGGAACACTGATGGTGAGCCAGGTCTTCCCATCCAGCATCCGTACCTAACCTCACCAATGGGCACAGATTTCCACAGACACCCTCCAAATCTTGTGGACAGCCTTCCCAGGAGACTGGAGGAAGTTATAGCCACAAAGCGGACAATTAAATATTAATGAGGGAACTCTATAATGATAACCGTGGTTTTTGGAATGAGATGTCCATAAATACTTGATTTGATGTGGAGGAATTTGAGAGCCCTGACCTCAATCCTACTGAACACCTTCAGGATGAATTGAAACACTGATGGTGAGCCAGGTCTTCCCATCCAGCATCTGTACCTAACCTCACCAATGGGCACAGATTTCCACAGACACCCTCCAAACCTTGTGGAAAGCCTTCCAGAAGAGTGGAGGACATTATAGCCACAAAGGGGACAATGCCATAATAATGAGGGAACTCTATGATAACCGTGGTTTTTTGGAGTGAGATGTCCATAAATACATGATTCGATGTGGAGGAACTCGAGTGTCCTGCACAGAGCTCTGACTTCAGCCCTACTGAACACCTTTGGGTACCGATGTTGGATGAGAAAGCCTGGCTCACAATCAATGTTCCAATTTATCCCAAATCTGTTCGGCAGTGTTGAGGTCGGGTCTCTTTGCAGAACAACTGCTTCCCTCCATACCAAACTGGTCAAACACATGTTTGGGTGAACACTGAACACCTTTGGGTACCGATGTTGGATGAGAAGGCCTGGCTCACAATCAGTGTTCCAATTCATCCCAAATCTGTTCTGTAGTGTTGAGGTCGGGGCTCTTTGCAGAACATTTGATTCCCTCCATACCAAACTGGTCAAACACATCTTTATGGCTCTCACACAGGGGCACAGGCATTCCGAAACATCAATTGGCGTTTCCCAAACTGGTTGGAAGAGCACAGTTGTCTAAATTGCCTTTGTATGATGTAGCATTAACATTACCCTTCACTGGAGATGCCTGAACTCCATCATTTGGAGTGATGTTTGCATACGTTTTGGCCATATGGTACCTATTCAGTGGATTCCAATACAAAACCTTGAGCTGTGAGCAGTATTTTGTTGTCTTTTCTGCCATATGCCCCATAGCTATAATTCCCAGGAACTTAGAGATTCTGCATCAACTGGTTGAGAGTGCATGCGTTTATGTCATCATGTCCCCAGTGTTCTGACATGGTCCTACAACTGATACTCACACAGCTACCCTTGTACTTTGAGGCAACAAAAATCTGCAAGAGGAACCCAGCTAAACTGAAGAAAATGTCACCGTCAAAGCAGATACGGGACTGTTCTGTGGGAAATGTGGAGGATCGTTTTGGGGTTAGCAGATTTTCGATGAAACGCGTTAAATCTGTACAGGTTACTGATGGGCAACAGTTTGATTTTAAACTGGCTAAGCTGGACTATCCTGATTCTTCATGTTTGTTTCCCCGAGTTATAAGAAACAATGTATCCTTTTAGTTTGTTTCCCCGAGTTATAGGAAACAATGTTTCCTTTTAGTTTGTTTCCCCGAGTTACTCTCACATATTCCAGCGCCCAGAACGATCTGCCCAAAGCTTTTCTACGGAGCCTTTACCGCTCTGTACAGCCCTGGAGCCAGCGTACGTTCCAAACGGCGGAAGTAGCAGGCCTGTAAGTTCCTGCCCCTACGTATTTCGTCACACACCAGGGATGTCATCAGGAGGTGCGGCCGCCGCCATATAAATACTGTATCTTGCACCACCATTGGTGGATACTCCATTCCTCAATTAATACAATAAATAATCAGGTTGCCTGTTTGCCTTGCTCAACCCTCTATGTTCCATAAGCCTCTGGAATACAGGGAAGAACAACCAAACTTTCAGCCTGCGAGATCCAGAACACTCAAAAGCAAACCAACAACTGCTCCACTGATAACAGTGGAGCCCAAAAAAAAATTGAATTTGCCTAACGTCCTAGCAACTTAACTAGGAGGGTGCTACCTAAAAATTTTTGTCTGTGTCCCCATCGGAGCGATTTTGTAAAATTTCTGTTCTGGCAGGAAATCTTCCCAGAAAACTAATGTGGGCTCTTACCCTTTTCCCATGCTATCCAAAACGAAACAGAAGTTCCGGATGTAGTTGGGCAGTAGAAATATTTACTTACTCAACCTAATTATATGATTTGGGGATGGTGCCGTGACTCACACAAAGGTGAAAGTTAAATCATAATTCTGGTTTATTATGTGTAATCCATATGGAAGAAAAATATATTTGAAATATATTTAAAAAATATTCTTCCCAAATATATTGACATATATATATATATATACAGTCATGGCCGAAATTGTTGGCACCCTTGATATTTCTCCAGGAAATCATGTATTTCTCACGAAACGTATTGCATTAACACATGTTTTGCTATACACATGTTTATTCCCTTTGTGTGTATTGGGACAAAACAAAAAAAGGGAGGAAAGAAAGCAAATTCGACATAATGTCACACAAACCTCCAAAAATGGGCTGGACAAAAGTATTGGCACCCTTTCACAACTGCGGATAAATAAGAATGTTACAAGCATGTGATGCTCCTGTAAACTCACCTGGGGCAAGTAACAGGTGTGGGCAATATAGAAATCACACCTGAAAGCAGATAAAAAGGAGAGGACGTTCACTTAACCTTTGCATTGTGTGTCTGTCTGTGCCACACTAAGCATGGACAACAGAAAGAGGAGACGAGAACTGTCTGAGGACCTGAGAACCAAAATTGTGGCAAAATATCAACAATCTCAAGGTTACAAGTCCATCTCCAGAGAACTAGATTTGCCTTTGTCCACAGTGCGCAACATTATCAAGAAGTTTGCAACCCATGGCACTGTAGCTAATCTCCCTGGTCGTGGACGGATGAGGAAAATTGATGAAAGATTGCAACGCAGAATAGTCCGGATGGTGGATATAAGCAGCCCCAAACATGTTCCAAAGACATTCAAGCTGTCCTGCAGGCTCAGGGAGCATCAGTGTCAGCGCGAACTATCCGTCGACATTTAAATGAAATGAAACGCTATGGCAGGAGACCCAGGAGGACCCCACTGCTGACACAGAGACATAAAAAAGCAAGACTACAGTTTGCCAAAATGTACTTGAGTAAGCCAAAAGCCTTCTGGGAAAACGTCTTGTGGACAGATGAGACCAAGATAGAGCTTTTCGGTAAAGCACATCATTCTACTGTTTACCGAAAACGGAATGAGGCCTACAAAGAAACAAAACACAGTACCTACGGTAAATATATGGTGGAGGTTCAATGATGTTTTGGGGTTGTTTTGCTGCCTCTGGCACTGGGTGCCTTGACTGTGTGCAAGGCATCATGAAATCTGAGGATTACCAAAGGATTTTGGGTCGCACTGTAGGGCCCAGTGTCAGAAAGCTGGGTTTGCGTCCAAGATCCTGGGTCTTCCAGCAGGACAATGACCCCAAACATACGTCAAAAAGCACTCAGAAATGGATGGCAAAGAAGCGCTGGAGAGTTCTGAAGTGGCCAGCAATGAGCCCAGATCTAAATCCCATTGAACACCTGTGGAGAGATCTTAAAATTGCTGTTGGGAAAAGGTGTCCTTCCAATAAGAGAGACCTGGAGCTGTTTGCAAGGAAGAGTGGTCCAAAATTCCGGGTGAGAGGTGTCAGAAGCTTATTGATGGTTATAGGAAGCGACTGATTTCAGTTATGTTTTCCAAAGGGTGTGCAACCAAATATTAAGTTAAGGGTGCCAATACTTTTGTCCAGCCCATTTTTGGGGTTTTGTGTGACATTATGTCATATTTGCTTTTCTGCCTCTGTTTTATATTTGTTCCAATACATACAAAGGGAATAAACATGTGTATAGCAAAACATGTGTTAATGCAATACCCTTTTTTGTGTGAAATACTTGATTTTCAGGAAAAAATATCAAGGGTGCCAACAATTTCGGCCATGACTGTATATATATATATATATATATACTGCATGTTGAAATGCGTTTTTTTTTTATATTACAAAATATATGAAAAAAATTTGAAGAATATATTTTTAAAAAATATATTTTTTTAAATA